AAGGCACCCCCATGCATTATAAGGGAAATAGTTGAGCCTATAAGAACACCCATAAGAGTGCCCCAAGGGGATGATTTGGGAGACAACCCTAGGCAGGAGATTAACCAAGTAGAGTTAAATCCAGAACTTGAAGAATCTAGGAGAACCCAACGCAAAATTTAGGAGACTGGGAATTCATTTAAGGACCCATTTCTTACATATTGTGAGGGAAACACTGATATGTAAAAAGGAGAAATAATTGAAAGAATTTTGGATTTAAAAAGAATATGTAAGAATGACAATCCCAATCAATCCCTTACATACCCTCAATATGGCTGTAATAGAACTAAGAAGAAAAGTTGTAAGAAAAATTAAATTATGAGGATTTAGTAGAAACTCCAGGATCAACAAAAAATTGGGCGATCGATAAAGGATTACTAAATTAGAATTTTGATCCTAAAGGAAGCCTTTTTCATCAAGCTGATAACGTAAACCAAACACTATCTTGAGAGGCAACTCAAGTGTTATCTGATGTGTTGAGCGTGTGTTTTTTTTTTTACTTTTTGCAATTGTTTCAAAATTTGCTTTGAAATAGCTTTAAATTTTCATTTGAATTGGTTTTGAGTATAGTCCCTCCATGGAGTGATTTATGCTTTCTTACATATTTCATATTCTTGTTTTCTAAGATTCATGTGACAGCTGCATTTACTCTTTTTCCTGAACTTGTTTACTTTTTAAGTCACGACTACTTCATGTCATTCATGTTTGAAAAAAACAAGTTTGGGGGAGAAAAATTGTATATTTTTACAAATCTAAAAATGATTCATATGGCTGAGTGAAAGATTCAATATTCACAATATAACTCATTCTAAGAATTATAAATTAGTCAAAATGCTTATCAAAATCTTTTATAAGAGGATAAATATCATTTAGGAAAGAAAAATATTAATAATTTAATAAAAATATTTCATAACTTAACAAATTCAATCGTTATTTACAAAAATCTATTGATTATTAAATGAGGTGTAATTTAAATATTAAACAAAAAATGTTTTTATGTCTTCTTCAGTTCATTTCAACCAATTTAATGTTAACTTAACTCTTAACTAGGAAGATAACTTAAATGTGTGAAACTAAGCTATCATAGTTGAAATTTATTGCGAAATAAAACTACCCCAATTTATTGTGTAATAAAACTACGCCTTATCATATTAAAATTAGAAAAAGAAAACATTTTCAACTTGATAAAGTAATTTTGAGGAGAAAAAAAAAGAAAATAATAAATTCAAAAAAAAATAAAAAGTCCTTAAAAGAGACTTGAGGTTGACACAATATAATTCAAGAAAAAAAAGTAAACCATAAGGGTCTCTAATGGAACTTAAGGGATAAACGTTTCATGATTCTTTAATAAAACTACTTTAATCTTATCTTGAAAGAAAAAAAGTTAATTAATATTAAGCTAGCAAAATCCACTGCAGTTGCTTTAAAAATATTTGAGGTTGGTGAAAGATATTTTAAATAACACCAATTTAAGAATAGATGGGATTTCTTAAAGACAGAACAAAAGGAATTAAGGAAAAGATTAATTTATTAATCATTAAAGATAGTTGATCCAGAGATGACAATAAAAATACTATTATTTTACTTCGATAAACAAGTTGAATAGTTAAAAATCTACAGAAGCACCTATTATTATCATGGGATCCCAACTGAGCTATGAGATTACTTGAGGGAAAGTAATAAAATAAGTTTAGGAGTATTGACATGCATTAATATTACGTGATTTCATCCGATTTTACATGCATATTATCTATTATTTTTACTAATTTATCATAGATTTACAATTGAGAAGGGTTTTGTTGATGTTGTGTAGGTTATAGGTGTCGAATATGTAAAATAGAGTCAAAACACGCAATATAATGTTGTCTGGCATAGTCATGCTAGAGTTGAGTGTACGACACTAGTTTCGAGCAAGACCAAGCTGGGTTCTGGCGGGCACATCCAAAACTCATGTTTTGTGCAATTTCTTTTCTATTTTAACTTTAAACCTACTGACAGTTTTGGAGAGTTTGGATGCCTATTTTGGATCTTTAATGTAAAACCTAACCATAAAAATTTATTTGTGTTGTGAAAGAATGTCTTCTTGACCTTTTCATGGCATTTTAAACCTACTGACAGTTTTGGACATTTTGGATGCCTATTTTGGTTCTTTAATGTAAAACCTAACCATAAAAATTTATTGCGTTGTGAAAGAATGTCTTCTTGACCTTTTCATGGCATTGAAATTCTGGAGCAGAGAAGAGTTGGAGGCTGTTGGAGGCAGGGATTAGGGAGAATTTTAGTGCCTTCTTAAAGGTTTTCTTCCTCCCTTGTTGCAATCTTCAAGGGTGATTTTTTCCTCTATTTTTTGAGTTGTGAGAGAGTATTGTATGAGAGGAATGATTACTGCTTTTCTGGAAAAGAAAAGTTATTGTATGTTTAACATGTTTCTATTTCATGCAATAAAATCCTGCCTAATTTTCATTACTATAGTTTTCTCAACCATACGTGGCTAATTCTTCATTACATCTCTGTGATTTAGAGGTAGTGATTTTAATCGTGGTTTTTCTAAATTTTTTTTCCGTTAGCATTTTTCTTGTGCTTTCACGGTCTACGTTGTTAGTTGCATGTGAACGTTAGTTACTCCTAGTTTGGCCAACTAGAATGATAAAATATTTTGTGAAACTAGTATCTTTAATCGTTGTATAGTAGAAACAAATAGTAAATCACATAATTCGGAGAGGATAGACAGATTTCAGTGAAATTCTACAATCATTCTAGAGGATCAAAAAATTTAAGTGGAATGCCATTGAAATGGGGGAGCCTCAATTTCATATATTTTAAGTTTCTTTTGACCTAGATATAGACATAAGGAGTAATATATCATTGATCGACAACAATCACGTAGGAAAACATTTAGGAAAGCCACGATCACCACAGTCATCAAATCACAGAGGCACGAACCTCATCATTCTTGAAGGAACTCACAAGATCCTTCACGTTGTTTATGTTAACAGAAATTTACACTGTTTTTGCTAAAATTTTACTAGTAAAACCTTCTTTGCACTCAAGCCAAGTAAGGTTTAATAAATTAGTAAACTAGAGCATTTTCCGCATAAATAATTGTTAAGACTTTTCTCATGGGATCGATACGTGAATTCTTAGGCCGCATAGTATTTGACACGTGCACTTACATCGTATGGCCAACTTACTTCTCGATAAATTTTGGCGCGTCAAAAGCACCCTTTTATTTTGTGCCCAAAGATTTGATAATACACGTAGTAGTTAGGCTCATTGCTCTTACCCACTTCGTCTAACTTTCTAGACTTTAGTGGTTAGAAGTCTAGCTTCTTCATCAATTTTTTTTAAATCTTTTTAATTTGATTGAGTATTTATGCTCATCCATTCATAAAAAATGAATTTGAATTCTCTCTGATCCTCCGACCGAGGAGTTTGTTGTTATTATTATTGTTGTTGTTGTTGTTACTTAAGTTTGTCTAACAATATCTTCAGTGGTTGATTACCCTTATCAATTGCAGAGACCATCATGTATTTCTCTCAAACATGTTATGTTGATTCTATTTTTTATGTTCAGTCGGTGTTTCGAGAATAAATAGCTGCTTCTTTTCTTCCTGTAAACTAACAACTTAATAATTTCTTAAAGGTCTTTATAGTAAACCCTTTTAGTAGGAAAGCCATTAGTCTATGGATATTTTTAGTTGAATTTTTGTAGCATGTTCATGAAGTTGTGATTCATATTTTATGTTTAAGTTTCTCCATCTTAATATATACTCCACTAAAATTTTTTTCTCAATAGCTAAATCACCCACAATGATATGATGATAAGCTCCAACAAACCTCCCGTTGGACAATTTTGCATACCAATCAAATACAACCATTGACAAGTTATTAATAAAATGTCTAAGGAATAACACATCAATTCTACCAACATTGCAACAACTAGCCTTGAAATGCATCAAATGTTTTATTGGATTGCTCGTTCCATCAAATATACTGAATGATGGTGGCTCAAATTTTTTAGAGTATCTCACTGCATCAATTTTTTTCAGCTCAGACCTACCCTGCATAACATATGAGATACATTTAGAATATGCCAACACCTACATAGCTTGTCATCCTATGAGTTGCTTCAAGTACTTTCCAGGTAAAAGAAAAACAATTTCATGTTTCCTTGTAGAGCTATGGGCTTCTTCATTCACTTGATCCATCTTTTTCTTCTCAACCACAAGAGTAACTTCAATCTTATACATTTCACAAGGTGCTCTCTATGGTTTAGAAATTTTATCTTGCAACGCCATTTTTCTTGCCAACATCTCTTCCACTCCACTCTTCATCACTGCTTTCTTCAACTACAACATCCTTTGTGCCAGTGGCTTGTTATTCTATTTGTAGCGAGCATCTTGTCTTGATGACCATCACCTCTTCTATCATATCAACTAAATCAGCATGTCTTATCTCTCCTTTTTGTAGATCATTCTTTATCGATCTTCTTTATACTATCTGTGAACACATTCAGTGGTTTACTCGATTTTACTTTTCATGATCAGCAACTTCCATGTCCTTGTCTTCTAATTTTTCTTCATCAAACATGTTTCAACTTTAACTCTCTATTTTCTCCTCCACTCGCTTTCAACGCCACCTGCTTATGCGGCACTGGACTTCTCTCAGGTAAATATTTATTTATTTATTTATTTATGAGGTTCGAGTACTGGTGACTTGGAAAAGAAAAAAAAATCCAAATCAATAGGCCCACCTCCCTTCATCAAAATTTAAATTTTTAAAAAATATGGATCTCATTTCATACAATTAATCAATAAGCATCCTCAGTAAATATGACAACATTATGGGAATGGTTCAACAGTGCTTATGGAATAACAAATAAACATGTACCATTGACATTGATGGAAGCGCAAAATATAATCAACATTAAATCAACATGAGAATATGAATGGAAAGAGCAGTTCACAAACAAGAAATCTAGATTGACTGTCGGCTACTGTTACAAGTACAGAAGACAGAAGACATTTAGATACGTCCAATATTGATTCACTTGTCCTATTACAAAATTTCTGTTCCATAAAATGATAAAATAGCAACAAACTGTATTTTCCTTTTAATTTTTTTTTGGTGTTAATATGTACAGAAATTGTGCTAAGCTTGGATTGAATTAAAGAAGGAAAGCAGTGATTATATGAACTAAAGCATTGCTTGACACGTACATTGCTCGTAGCAGTCGCCATATATTTCATACCCATGTCAAACATTCAAATCGCCAACTGCAAAAGCTTGTAGCATTCACGAATAAATGGCAAACTGTGGCGCTCTGTATTCCTGGAAGAGGATCAAATGCCAAAATAGATTTTCAAACATATTCACACATTTTGTTTACCAAAATTTCTTGGTTTTATGTAGTTTCCAGAAGAAAAAGAGAAAATGGAATAAATATAGTTCGGTTTAACTGCCCAAATTATCAAACTAGTGCATTTTTAAAGGAAACAAACTAAGGTTAGTCCAGCTGATGCATTGAGGAAATCATGTGCAAGCTCATTTAATTAAAGGAAGATTTACATACATACCAGTCAATTCTTATGTATTTACATATCTAACACCTAAACTTCAATTTTTACATATATGCCACATTACCTACGCATGAAAAGTGGATTTAATTTTTTAAGAGTTAAAATAGTGATATTTTTTATGAGATGTGAAAGTTTAGGACGGTATAAATGTGAAATGTAAAATTTAGGTGTTAGATATGTAAACTGATAGGAATTGGAGGGTATGTATGTAAATTCCCAATAAGTTGCAGTGCTTCACTAAAATGTAAATCCCCAAACAACCAAAAGCAAGATGGTGGTATTAGTATTGGGAACACAGTGCAGGGAAAAAGAGAGCGGGTATAGAACGGGTTGTTGGGCAAGGAGTACGTGAAAAGAGCATGCAAAAATCAATAAGCTAGACTTCTAATTTTACTTGATTTACCTGAAAAATGCAGATCATTTCGCCTCCAACTGGCCAAGTTTCAATGATGCTCAACTTCTTGGGTTACAAGACTACGCTGGACAAACAGAAACTAACCATATCTGCTAGCATTTATTAATGGAAAAAAGCAGAAATTTATAAAGCAATATAAGCACTCCCTAAAACCACAAACCATTGGGATGGAATGCGGGCTTTGAAAGAAGAAGAATAATACCTTCTATTTCAGCAATGGTGCAAAAGGAGCTGGACAAGGAGATACAGTGTGATCTGGTAGCTGCTCTATCAACTCAATAGTTGCTCGAGTACAAGAATTTAGCATTTTCTTTTCTAAACTTACAAGCCTAGCAGCAACTCGTTTCTTCGGATTCAATTGACAATCTGCTACCTGGTCATCATATAAAATTGAATTAGCACATTTCTAATTAATTTAAACCTCAATTAGTTTCAAATACTATTATTCAATATTACAATGGCTTCATCTTCACTTAAAGTTGTTGGATAACTTGCTAGACGAGCCTGAAAATAACCAAGTAGTTGGTCCAGAACTGCACGTTCCATACAAGGGCTCACCTGCAATCAGATGTGAAGAAGCAAATGAATAAGCCTGTCCGAGAAAAATTTGGAAGTCATGCTGAACCGAAATAAGTCCCCAAAACTTGCCAAGACGTTGAACGAAGCAAACAGTTCAAATAAAATATTATTCCGCAAAATATATGTTGAAATACTATAGAAGGCCCAGATAGGCCCAGATAGAAATAAAACTGCCCTTAAAGATCTAGTACAGTCCTGGCACCCGGAAAAATGCAAAAATAACTATGCTAGCAAGACCCATGATAATATAAACAACAACAAGAAGTCTTTATCCCACTAAGTGGGGTCGGCTTCATGAATCCTTCCATTGTGTCTTATTGAGCGTAATGTTTTCATTTAATTCTAATAAATTAAGATCATTTTTTATACTACATGCCCAAGTCTTTTTAGGTCCACCTCTACCTTTCTTAACAGTAAGAGCCAAGGTATCTTAACACTACCTTTCTTAACAGTAAGAGCCAAGGTAATAGAATTGAAAATTAGATTAGCAGGACTCGGATTTACAAGATATATATACCAGCATGTTCTGTTATTTATCACTTCACTTTCGGCCCTCCCATATCCTGCACCAGCATATATATACATCGGGGTGATGAGGAGGTTCCACCTTTTGTTCCTAAGTATGATTCAGACACACCACTTGCAAAAGAAAATGATACTGCACTCCAAAGAGCATAAAATAGAGAACCAAGTTTCCGAACACATTAATAATGCCAAAAGTCTGAAAAAACAGTAAATAATTCATCTATAAATATGTCCTTAATAGCAAAAATCCAAATTAGAAACTAGGGAAATAGATAAGAACCAAAATGAAAGAAACAAAGGAAACTTTTTTAAAAAATAATATTAATAATGATCTTGTCGGGCTCGACTCCTACAATCGGTGGTCCGATATCATAGAACCTAAAAATTGCAGAAACCTGAAAAAGGGATTCGCTGGGATCCAGCACAAATATACACCCATGATGCAACAAAGGTGGACGACTCAGTCAAACACAATTCTCACCACACTAGCTCTAACTTACACAAATCAGAACCGAGTGGTAATGAATTAATCTAAATTAATCATCACATACATTCACAATAAAATTCATTTATATTTTCCATTACTTAGAAGCGTGCACAATAATGTCACCCAAATATATATAGAGCTACTAAAAATCCAAAATATAAAAAATATGTACCCAAAAGTCTTTATAATTTCCAATACTATATAACCCAAAAACTGTATAATATCAAACCTGATTGCTTACCCTGATTTCCTTATCATTTTCTGAAAATCAATATAAAAGAGTGAGCTGCAAGCTTAACAAAATTATCAAGGCTAAAGTAAGATTTTATAGACTGAAATGAAGCAAAGTGCATGCGCAATCAGAGTTCATATGTATGGATGTTGCACATAAAATAAATATACTTGTTGACCTCATTTTTGCATTACGATTATTTTGTTATCTCTCTAGAGCCTAAGGTCTAAACTTAAGATTTCCTTAGTGGCTCCCCAAGAAATTAATAGTGGAACCAATACCAAGTTAAGACATGATAACATCTCTTTACTCCTTATAGTTTCATATACTTAATTACAAATCGTTAACCTTTGGTTGAGATGATTAAAAACAAGTTATTGAAGCTTAGGTTGAGTTCCTATAGACTTAGACATATCCTAGACTACTATGTGACCCTAGAGACGTATGTCTTCTATTTGGTCTCTCTCACTATGCACTTTGCACTTCTCTCTCCTAATTTCTTGGATGACATTTTCTTTAGTTCAAAGAGAGCTCATTGGGAATGAGACTCATTTTGAATTAAAATAGAGTTCATCCTTTAATAAAAAAGAAGATAAAATAAAAATCACCAATTGAAGTTCAAAACATAAATAAAATTGAAAATGAACAATATCAAATTCAATAAAATCATAAAATCACAAAATAAAATTAAGATCAAGAAAATTAAAAAAAAATCACCAAAAAAAGTCATCAAATCAACAAAGTAGAAATCAAAGGAAAGAAAATTCCTAAAAAATCATCAAATCAAACATAATAGAAATTAGAATTAAAAGTCAATAAGACTTTAAAAATGAAATTATAATTGAAATAAATTCATAAAGTTAAATCAAAACCCAAGAAAGTTGAATTTATCAAAATTATAAAAATTAAATTCACAAAAGTAAGATTACAAAATTAAACTTTCAAAAATATAAAATACGAGACTATCAATGAAAGTCCGAATTCACTAAAGACTAAATTGACCCAAGTCAAAATAAAAACTAAACAAAACTCACTTAAATTTTCAAATAGAAAATAAAGTAAAGTCATAAAATCAAAATCAAATTCAACAAAATTGAAATCACAAAGTAAAATCACTATGTGAAACCAAAGTCAAGGAAAACCAAATTTAAATAAAATCATCAAATCAATATAAAATTAAATTCAAGATTATAATTAAATATAAATAAATTGACTGAAATAATAAAAGTAAAATACCAACCAAAAGTAAAATCAAACACAACCTAATTTACCAAAAATCAAAACAATCAAAAGTAAATCAAACCAAAAATCCAAAATTCACTAAAATTAAATTAACCAAAATCAAAATTAAATCAAACCAAAGCCACCTAAATCAATGTCCACCTCATCCAAACCATACCCAAGCTTAAACGCGTGCCCAAAATTCAAGTCAACCAAAGCTTATCATAAGCCAAGCCACTAAGTCCACCTCATGACAGCTCACCAAGCAATCATTATGCCAAGCCAAGGCAAGCCAAATCAAAGGCACCAAACAACATTATGGCAACGCAAATCCAAAATCCAAACTACATAAGTGACCAAAGCCTTAAACACATAACTCTACCCATAATAAAACATGACAAACCAACATCACCCATACAAATCCAAGTCATCCAAAGTCAACTACAATCAATTTAAATTTAATTGGATGAACCCAAATCTGAGGAAAAAAAAAACATGTCCACAAAACCCAAAACCAAAGAAAATTAAGCTAAACTCAAAAGCAACTTTCCCCAACCCCTTGGCTCTTCTCCAAATGTTAAACATAGCTCTCTGATGCCTCTCAAGCTTCCCTAATGCTCTCCCACGGCTATTTAAAGCCCAAACCCAAAAGCACCTGCTCTTATGACCCAACCCGTGGCTTGAATTAACCAAGGCGGGTATAAACGGTCGTATGGTGGGTATTAATATTTCTCTATTTATTTTATATAACTAGCTATTAACAAATGAAAAAACCACTAAATAAATTTAATTAAAGTAGCATAATTAGATTTAATTCAATATAGATTATCCGCATCTTTTATAAATATTTTCTCTTCTTTAGCTCATTTTTAATCAATTAATTAAGCCTAAAATGTTTGTTTAAAATAACTGTGAACTAAACAAGCATTGAATACCTATACTCCTAAACAATAGTAATATAAGGGAAAATAAAGCAATATGCATGCAAGTTAAGATTTCTATTAAATCAATATATATATTTGATATTTAAAAAATATGATGTCATTCGATGAATCTTACTATATCAATAACATATCTATATAATTTATATCTATACAATCGTAACAAGAGCACGGTATAAAAATTGTACTAGTTAAAGCACTTTAATATCAATATCTTTTATGTTTACATACATGGATATTTTAGTGTTCCTCTGCTAAAATCATAAAGAGATGACACCATCATATTAATCATGTGCAAACAAGCAATCAATAGAAATAATATCCTTCTTACACTTATCGCATTCAGTTCAATGTATTTTATGTATGTATGTATGTATATATATTTTTATTTATTTATTTATATAAAGTTTGCTGTCAATACCCAAAACAACCAATGTATCGTCCATTAAATTCCTGGGTTCTAGTAGGCCTCCATTCTTCTTCTTCTTCCTGCATATGTAAGTCTGTCAATCCTCATCGGAAGATTGGCTCATCTGATTAGTGTATTGGTCCAAAGGTTGTCAGGCATGTGTAGGTTGTTGCACATCATGAGCCCCTTGTGCTGACTAACAGTAACAACCTGCTCGATCTGATGAGGTGATAGGACTGCAGTAGAAAGCTCACTTAGGATAGAATGCTAGATTTGAAGTTGGGGCGCACGTAGGGCAGGACACTCCACCACGACATTGACAATCGTTACATCAGTGATAGGTTTTAGGGTAGGTGAAGTATGAAATGTCTCCTCTGCCCCCATGAACAGAGGTTCCGCAGGAGGAATTAGAGGACCTACATCTTGAGCATTGTGTGGAGGTAGAGTGGTTGACATATTGCTTGCGGGGATAGTGGAATCTTCAGCAACGTCGGCCAGTGGACTAGATGGCACGGTTACCACAGTGTTATTGGGGTCAAGAATATTTGTGATATATATATATAT